TTGCTGGCTCAGCACCTGGGCTGTCCAACAAGGCCCCCGCAAACAGCCGCCAGTCTATTAGCACAGCCAGAACAGAGGCATTGCTACTATGCTTCTTGCTGCCTGTTGCTAGTGGTTTTTCTGATCTTGTGACGCTTCTGGGTCTTCTTCTTAGTGCTGCTGCTGTGATTGCTGTTGTTGGTGTATATCCTGGGGTCGCAGGGCACAACCTTGGCATTGGCATCTCCACCTTTGTGGGCTTTAGCGCAGGCCACAGCTAGCCTGTCCGAGGCCACGCAGCCTTGGCATGGCCTGAACTGCCACATACGACGCTAACCGCCGAGGCCACCCTCTTCTTTTCTAGGCTTCCGAAGCGACGGCCCCCCTCAAACGTTTCTCGGCGCCTCGCAGGGTGCAACCTTGGCATTGGCATCTCCACCTTTGCGGGCTTTAGCACAGGCCACAGCTAGCCTGTCCGAGGCCACGCAGCCTTGGCATGGCCTGGGCTGCCACGTACGGTGCTAGCAGCCGAGGCCAGCCTCTTCTTTTCTAGGCTTCCGAAGGCGACGGCCCCCCTCAGACGCTTCTCGGCGCCTCGCAGAGTGCAACCTTGTTGGCATTGGCATCTCCACCTTTGTGGGCTTTAGCACAGGCCACAGTTAGCCTGTCCGAGGCCACGCCTAAGGCTAGAACACCCATCTTCTTTCCGCAGACGGGCAACCACCGGAACGACACTAACGCCTTCAGTTACACACGCTACACTCCTCTTGAAAAGGGGTCGGCGGCACCCGGGCGAAGCCCTTACAATCCGGGCGCCGGCCACGAAGCCCGTGCCCTGCCCGGAGGGCCTTCGGTGGTAACCGAAGGTTATAGACGGTCGCGCCGGCTGCCGCCGACCCTCGGTCCCAAAACGGGGGGACGACCGGTCAACTGAAGCCCCTGTAATTTACAGTGTATCGTGTGTGTGAGGTATAAAAAACACTGTGTTTTACAGGGTTTCGGGCCCCTCGGCAGCCGAGAATTTCATCTTGGCGATGTCAAAAAACCTAGGTTTTTTCATGGTTTTTGCTTTGCGGGAAGGAAAAATCGTAAAAAGTTGTATCGGAAGATTTTTTCAACATAAATCGCCTAACATATCCCCAACATAGGCCCAAGATAGCCAACATATCCCCAACATATGCCCAA